TGCACGTTTTGAGGAAAACAAGCATTTGTGTAGTTGATGGGGGATGGGGAGATGTGGAATGGGATGGCCTTTTATGTGCAATGTCTCCTTGTCTTGCAGCCCACAGATGAGAATATCTTTCATTGTGTTTTCATCCAATGCTGATGTGACAATGCCACTAACTGGCAACAGGTCTGTTCCAATTACCTTGTTTTTATTAGTTGTTTTTTTTATATTTTCTTGTGGCTACATGGATCTTAAACTGGAAGATTGCCAGCACATTGATAAACAGTCCAGACTTCGTCAAGGCAGCTCTGAAAGTGGGATTCCTAGGCATTGATGTGATATTTTGGGAATAGAATGGGGGGCTGGGTTAAAATCAGCCTTTTTCGTCAGTCGAGAAGTGTCTAAAAGGCAAATTATATATTTTGCTTACTAAACTACATTACAGTTAAAGTTGTAAATGGTGTTTGTACACTGAACAGGAGTCTTTCATTGCCTATTGGTAGCATTTATAGTAGTCAATCAGAGGCAGTGAGGGAGCAGATCATCTGGGTGTAACATGTGACCCCAAAACGCTTTTCTCTAAAGTCACACTCAGAGAGTTGTGTGCAAAGTATCTGCTCTTGGGCTGCCATTGAGGGACACCAGCAAAATATCAACCTGACTTTACAACTGTGATGGTGGGGAAGAGAGAAGATTTCATGAACATTGAAATTTGTGCCTGTAGTAGAATTTAAATACAAGATCATCTTATGGCCGTTTACCAGTTTAGTGTCCTACATTAGAAAACGTGTCATCTGTAAGTTGGCCAAATATTTTTATGTTGCACTTAGCTTCTGGACTATTTGAGAACAGTTGAGAGAGCATGTTTCAAGCTTGTTGAGGTTTCTGGTATCGTTGGGTTTTTTTTCTTACTCATTAACTTTTCCTAGTTCTCGGGAAAGAAAGTCCCAAAACCATGTTTCTGGCCTACTGGAAAAGGCTGCTTGTTCAGCCCATTGCCAGGCAGAAAGTCTGGTGGCCACCAATCGAATGGCAGCTGTTTATCTGCCATTCGATTGGTAACCACCAGTCTTAGCCATTGCTAAGGCAGTGGCTCACTTCTCATGGATGGGATGTACAACATCAGGAGGCAACAATACTTACTTCAAAGGAAAACCTTTAATAAAGGCAGTCCTGTAAGCTATACTGTTGGATGGATGTCTCACATGTGTGGAAACCTATCACCATGCTTAAGAGTATCCAAACCAAACAAGAGTTCCATGATCCTACCTATACCTGGAAATTCCAGAGATATTTATTGGAATCGAATGCGCACTCTCTCCCTGGAGGGACACATCCTGCTTTCCTAATTCCAGGAGGTATTAGATGCAGATTGGCAAGAGGTAAGACTTTGGGACCCTATGGTGTGCGTTAGGGTACTGCTAGGGTCTAACCAGCTAAAACCACATAGCTTGCCATTGAGGTCAATGCCTGAGGAGCTTTCCTGCTGCTCGTCTAGTTAGGACCACCCTATCTGTTAGGGCTTTGCAGAGTTAACAGGAGCTAAGTGGGAAGAGTCCCTGCCCCCAGTGACTGGTCTGCCCTTCCAGGTCCTGCTGATGAGCCAGGCTGCCTGGGCTGTCATCATCAGTGTCCTGGAGTACTGTTGACCCGCCTGGCTCAGGAACTAGACCCCACAGAGGGTGGGCTTGATTCTGACATTCCATTGCCAAACATGTCACTTTGGAGCCAGCTCCAAGTAGTACCCATTTACCATTCCCCCCGCCCCTCCATGAGGCCAATCACAAGTTCATCATTTGACATCTGAGATTGTGCCCTCATTAGGCAAGTAGCTTCCTAGAAACATGAAATGCGTGAGAGCATTGCTACCATCATACTCTCCGCAGCTCGGACCCATATCACTTACCATTGAGCGATGGTTTCATCAGTTGGAGATGTGGAGCTTGAGCAGCAGCAGCAGCTTGCTTACCTCTTTGTAAGCCAATCAAGGTGGATTCCAGGCGCTGGATGTACGAATGTATGTTCAGAAGCTCATTGCCCCAAGACTCAGAATTTCCTCATTGGCTATCTGGTGGGCATCTACCTTCGGCATGGTGGGAGGACAGCATGTGACATGCCAACCAAATTGATGTTCTTGTGCTCTAAGTCCAGGTTTACTCAGCACCTGCTGCTTAATCCAGATCCTCATGTAAGAGATCTTGACAAATAGGCGTGCCCGCTGTGAAACATCCTCTGCCTCTAGGCTGTTTAGTGGTCAGTATAGGCCAGAGCACGGTCGAAGAGGAAGGCTTTTAGGTGGGGCTTGAAAAAGGGGAGAGAGTGGGCAAGGTGGAGGGATTGAAGGAGTGTTCCAGAATTTCGGGGCATAGTGGCTGAAATCGTGACTGCCAATGGTGGAGCGGAGGGTGCGAGGGATGAGCAGGAGGCCAGTACCAGTCAAGCGGAGGCACTGGGTGGTGGATTGGGGAGTGAGGAGATTGGAGAGGTAGGGAGGTGCCATAGAGTGAAAGGATTTGAACATGAGTGTGAGGAATTCGATCCGTTCGGTGATGTGGAGCCTGGCCAGAACTGGTGAGATATGAGTATGGAGTTTGGTCCGGGTCAGTATGTGGGCAGCGGAGTTCTGAATGAGCTGGATCTTGTGAATGGTGGAGCTGGGGAGACCGGCGAGGAGCGTGTTTGAGTAATCCAGGCAGGAGGTGACAAACGCATGCACAAGGGTTTCGGCTGCATTTGGGGTACAGTCAGAGGCGGGCAATGTGGTGGAAGTGGGAGAAGACAGTCCTTGTCAGGGACCAGATGTGGGGGACAGCTGAGGGTTGATCCAGATGCCTAGATTGCACACTGGTTCGGTGAGTGGAGGTTGAGGAGTTCAGATCCGCAGGAATGAAGACATTAATGGGAGCCAAGGTGTATGGCTTCCGTTTTGTCCACATTCAGCTGCAGGAAGTTTGCATTCATCCGAGCCCTGATGTCTGCCAGACAAGCTGATTGAACATCGGCGGACCTGGAGGAGGCAACGTAGATTTGTGTGTCATCCGCATATATTGTATCACCATAGAAATGAATGGCACACAACACTGACAAATTTAGATGCTTGTGATTTGAGTCTTCAGAGACATTCATAATGTAACAATGGTTTATCTGATTTTGTAGAATAATTTAATTGGCTAGTAGCTGAAATCATTGTTGATGCTAAATATGTTACATACAATACAGAGGATGAGGACTTGTTATGTTGTCCAAATACAATTGAAAGGAAGTTCATCTTTGGAAATACAGCTGCCTCCTTCAATTATGTAACCAGTACAGCAGCTGACTCACTTTATACATGCCTAGAGTTATTTTTTCATGTTGTTGCCTGAAATTTATGTGGAAATACACTGAATAGAATTATTGACAAAACAGCACATTGTTTTGCCACCAGTTTTAATTAATAGGGGTTTCATATGTGAGCACTGATTTTAAAAACAAATCCTCTGACCATGTAATTAATTATATGTAAAGTGTATTTAATTAATCTATACTTAATGGATATAGTAAGTTTTCACTAGAATCTTATTATCCCAATTACTTAGCAAATCAATATTGGTTAGCGGCAGAGATGTCCATCAACAACATTTTGTGGCCTGTCAACAGATTGGCATTGATCAGCATAATTTACTTAACATAATAACAATTTATTTAATCAACTAGAGAAATTGGCAGAGCAGAATAATTAACTAAATTAGTGTTTATTTTTATGAACTAATGCTCAGGCATCTAGAGGATAATTAAAAATGCAGAAAGGCTAATATGATTAGAGGTAAAAAAGGTACAAAGCATACAGTTAATTCTTTGAGTTCTCAGTACAATTTGTCTCAGTTGAATCTTTCAATCAGTCTGTGAAATGTTTAATATAGGTTTGGCTTTTTTTAAAGAGATTTTTGCTTTAAAATGTGCTTTTATTATATCTTTAAAACTTATTTTTGGCTAGAGTTAGGTAAATCAAGGAGAGGGATGTCAATATAAAACAATGCAAAATTACATTTGTATAGCGAATTTCACGTCGGGAGAATGTCCCAAGTGCTGGGATATTCCATTCCTTGGGATTCCAGTCTTCAGCATATTAATGCTGAGGAATTGAATATTTTCCATATTGGTATCCAGGTCAAGTATAGCATTGCAATAAGCAGTGTCCAAAATTACTATGTTTGAATAATATATCTCAATCCCTGTTGACTATTACACCAATGTAATTTTTATATTTCTCAAAGCAGACATATCTGTGGCCTTTGAGTGAAATTGTAAATTATGTGCTAAATTGTGCCAAATTATAGTTAATTTTGTAGTGTCAGCCCACACCCATACTGGAAATTGCATTTAGCCTGCCAAGACTCAAATGACTTAGGGCTCCTGGCAGAGAGAGAAGACTTTTATTGCCTCAGTATGGGCAGAATTTGAATCCAAGTTTCAGAGGTGAAAAGACAGTACTCATCGTCTCCCTGCAAAAACCTTTTAATAACTGTTTGTTGGCATGTAATCAGGCTGTTTATTCATGTTACAATAAAAATATAATTCAGGTGGAGCAAAAGTGGTAATTTTGTGTTTACTGTTTTGTTGCTCTTTGAATTAGGAACCAAATCAGTGAAGGTCTTAAAAACCTTAAAGCCGTAATCCCAGTGGGGGTCACCAACATGCATTTAGGGATTGACAAGGTAAATCATAATTTTTATTTATTTTGTGGCAAAATAGAAATTCAGAAATACTGTACGCTATTTTGTGTGTATGTTTGTACCCCAGTTTCTCAATGTTTAACTAACCTGCCTGGCTCTACAATCACCTCCATTGTAAACCATTCCATATTCTCAAGAGCCTTTACTTTCTACTTTAAAACTTGTCACTTTTTAAAAACTCCTAATGTTATTTTCTCAAATCACTGCTCTATCAATTAATTCTTTGTTGCCAGAGTTCTAGAGTTAGGTAAGCAGGATGCGTCACTCCAGGGAGAGTGCGTATTCCATTCCAATAAATATCTCTGGAATTTCCATGTATAGGTGGGATGCATGGAATTCTCAGCTTGGATTGGATACTCTTAAGCAACTTGAATGGTCTCTGCATATGTTAGGCATCCAGCTGACCAATTAAAAAAACAAAAAATCATCTTATATACCATACAGCACTGATTTCATTGAAGGTTTTCCTTCGGAGTAAGTGGTGTTGACTCCTGATATAGTAATAATAATAATCCTTGCATTTGATATACACCTTATCACATCTTCGAGATGTTCCAAAGCGCTTCACAGAATATACCTCAAACTGATTTGACTTGAGCTTCACACAAGGCCCCACTAATTCCCTAAAGATTGATTTAAATAATAATAATTGTTGCATTTGATATAGCGCCTTATCATGTTTCAAAACGCTTCACAGGATATACTGTAAAGCATAGTGACTGTATTTTGTGGGTGAAATGTGACTGCCAATTGTGCACCGCAATTATAAAGATAAAGGCTGTTATTCTCCCCTAAAAGTCCTTTCATGTCCTATTAGCTGCCTTTTTATTTCTGTAATCTTTTCCTAACCACTCCTCCACTTAGCAGCAATTTTGGTTTGCTGGGTGCCCTCGTCCCCTGGCCAAGCCTTCACATCCTATGCCCTAACCTCTGTAAGTCCGTCACTTTGGTCCTCTGCTTCACCCCTTCTCTATCTGTCTTTTGAATTCCTTTTTAAAACCTACCTCTTCGAATGAACCTGTAATCATCTCCTCTTGCTCAGCATCCGAGCCTGTCATTGTGAAATGCTCTTGAGATATTATCCTACACGAAGGATACAATACAAGTTCGAGTTGTTACTGTTAAATAAGTTTCCTCTTTTAGATACTAACCAATGTGCTGTGGATTACCAATGTTTTCTTTTTATTTTATTTAGTGTTGCTGTATATGCCATTTGCAATGCAACTTGCTCTCTTCCTCCTTTTGCATATCAGTTAATTTCATATAATCTCTTCTGCAAATGAACTTCACACTGAGTTTATCTGTTAATTTATCTACTTTTCAATCAGTATTGAAGGCTCATGCATGTGTTATACGGTACACGCTAAGAAAATCTAAAGCACACTAAAGTTATTGTTTTCCTATCTTAATCATTTTGTATTAAATATGTTAAACACACAAGGAAATAAGATGAGTCCCTGCAGCTACATTAATCAATATTCAGTCGGTCTTCTTGAAGATTAAATAGCCATCTTTTAAATTCTCAGTTTTACAGCCAAATTAACATGTAATTAGACCAATTGGGAATACCATAGTGCTTGTTGTTTCACTGTTCTAATGGTTAAGACCATAAAGCAGGGTGGAGTGTAGCTGTTGTTTTTAGGCTAACACATTATACTTGTACAATACTGTGTTGAATTTATTAACAGCACAAATAATTGCTTCATTGAACTGTATTTTGTTTGGGGGTTATTCAGGGATTACATTGTCAGTAGAACACTGGTGTAGATGTCAGCATGGTTCACTTTGGTAGGCTCTGAGTCAGAAGGTTGTGGGTTCAAGCACCACTTCAGGACATTGAATTCACAGAGTTTAGACTGACACTCCAATGCAGTCCCGGGATTGTACTGCATTATAACATTTTTCAGATGAGATGTTAAACCAAGATCCCATCTACCTGTTCAGGTGGATGTTAAAGATCCCACGGCACTATTCAAAAGGAGAAGGGAAATTCTTCCTGTGACCTGGCCATCAATTGCCTGGACAAAATTGATCATTCATGGCTGCTTATGGTATATAACATTTAATGTCAAGTGCAAAGAGATGTTGGATTTCTTTACCTCCAAGATCGATAACATCCGCCTGGCTGCCTCTTCCTTCTACCCATGTACCCACACCCCTCCCCCATTCCTTTTCCATCACCCATGGCTCCAACCACAGACCCCAATCTACACTCCTTTTCTCCAATCTCTCCTTCCTCCCTCTCATCTTCCATCACCCGGATGAAACACACCATCTACTGCCTCAACCCCCTCCCCACCCAACTGCTGGTCGCTCAACTCCCCCTCCTCTGCCCACTACTAGCAGACGCCATAAATCAGTACCTCTCCTCAGGCTCAATCCCACTCTTTCTCAAAACAGCTATCATCGCTCCCCTCCTTAAAGAAACTACTCTTGATCCCTCCAACCTTGCGCACTACCATCCCATTTCAAACTTGCCCTTCTTGGGCACTGTCCTAGAATGCGTTGTTGCAAGCCAACTTTACTGACACCTTGCCCTCCACTCCTTACTCAAACCCCTCCAGTCCGGTTTCTGCCCAGTCCAAAGCACAGAGACAGTGCATGTCAAAGTAACAAATGACGTCCTCTCTCTGTGACCAGGGGTCCCTTTGCCTCTTTGTCCACCACTTCTAAGCACTCTGAGGCACTGTTGGGTGTGAAGAATGCTATATACATGCAAGTTGTTGTATAATGCTGTGTGCATATTGGCTGCCTTTGCCTAAATACGCAGTTGCTGCATTTTACAGTAGATCTTTTAAAGTACTTTTAGACATAATGGACAATTTTAAGAAAGACACCAAGAAATATTAATTTTTCAGGGGGTAATTAATGACTGGAACAGGTTATCAGCGAGAATGGTTGAGGACAGGTCACTGAATTTATTTCAAAAACAGCTCCACCTTCCCAGCTCAGGTGCTCAGCTATCAGCGTAAAGTGCCTTGAAATGTCCCCCTCCGTCATGAAAGGTGCTATATAAATTGTATCCTGGTGTTATAGGAAGATAGTTGGGTGGGTGTTTTGGAAGGATGGAATCTCATGGGTTAAAGGGCCTTCTTTATCTGAACCTCTCTTATAATCTTGTTAGTGTTGGTCAGAACATCGTGATCAGCTCTCTTGCCAACATAGGGCGCAGCACCACTTCCCAACACTGCTCACGTTAAGCTTTGTGAAGTGCTTTGAGATGTCCTCCTGATAAAGAATGAGATTCAATTATTCTATTTCTTAGGCCTCTGAACAAATCAATCAGGAAAATGGTTTGAAGACTGCAAGTGTCATTATTGTTCTCACTGATGGCAAGTTAGTTGAAATGCTGCTGCCCTACGCTTTGAAAGCAGTAAGTACAATACTTCCACATTGTTGTCACATCATTCAAGTTTTTTTAGAGTTAAACACCAACTTCAGTCTGGACACTGTCTGGATGGAGCTTGCTAAGTAGGGGCAAAGCGCATTATAGTCATGCTCATCCCTCTTCAAGGTCAGTAAGGTCCTAAAGCAGGTCAAACATGTGGCTTACAAGACCTGTGTACAGACAATCCTCTTTTATGATTCCAAGCTCATGGGGATGCAGCAGAGGTGTTTCTTCCAGTCCATTTGCAAAGTCCAGGATCAAGCAGTGAGGTAGATTTTTGGTAAACCCAGGAAGTGGCTGCAGGGAGGGAGGGCCCTGGCCTATACACATTCATACATCCAGCGTTTGGACTCCACCTTGATGGGCTTCCAGAGAGGCAAACAGCTGCTGCTTAAACTCTGCACCTCCAACTGGTGGAACCATTGCTCAGTGGGAAGGGTCACGTGGCCGAATTGTGGATAGGAAGAGAGTGGCAATGCTTTCACGCATTTCATGCTTAGATGCGTTGCCCACCAGGAAGCTCGCAGGGAGTTCCCTGTACCTACCATTCACCTAGTGAGGCTCACACCCGTGCTTGTCAGATGTTGAACGACCAATTGTTGACTATCCTCTTTGGTGGGAGGTAACTGGGGTCTTTTTGGAGATGATCTGGTTCCAAGATGACATGTTTGGCAACTGAATGTTGGAAAAGAGCCAGCCCTCTGTGGTAGTCTGGGTAGTCCGGTTCCTGAGCCAGGCGGGTCCACAATATTCCAGGGCACTGCTGATGATAGCACTGCCAGCCTGGCTCATCAGCAGGACCTGGAAGGGAAGACCAGTCACTGGGGGCAGGGAGTCATCTGGCTCAGCTGCTGTTAACCCTGCAAGCCTGGACAAACAGAAAAGCTTGCCACTCAGTGATATGAATGGAAATTTAGCCGATTAGACTCCAGAAGTACCCCAACATACACTCTGGGGTTCCCAAGCCTTGGTTCTTGCCAACCTGTGCCTAATATTTTCAGGAATTGGATAAGCAGGATGCGTCCTTCCAGGGAGAGGGTGCTCCTTCCATTCCAACAATCTATCTCTGGAATTTCCATGTGTAGGTGGGATGCATGGAATTCTCGGTTTGGCTTGGAAACTTTTAAGCATGGTGATGGGGTTCCACACGTATCAGATACTCGGCTGACCAAAAAAAAGTTTGGGACTAGTTTTCCATTACAGTAGAACACTATGCACTCTGATTATCCACACTTTCCCTTATCCATATTGGGCTTGGATGCTAAAGTGAACTTGGTGCGTTTCTCATCAAAAAAAAACAGTTAGGTCGATGTGTGAAGTTCTGCGGAATGCAATTTACTTGCTCAGTGTAACTGAACTGGCAGAGCAAAGATAAACGCATTGTATGGTTAGAGACTGAGTCACTGTGAAAAAGAGAGAGACATGAAAGTCCCAAAGTTTTTTTTAAAAAAAGGAATTGAGTTAACTTATTTAGAATTTTATTACAGGCTACAAAAGCCAGAAATCTCGGAGCAAAAATCTTTTGTGTTGGAGTCAAAGACTTTGAAACTGAACAGGTAAGACTTCAGAATGAATCATTGATTAACTTGTAGTCTCTGGTTGATAGCAAAGCTCCAGCGAGTGATCAAACAGCCTTTGGGAAGAAGAGCAAGGTAAGTTTGAAATGATTAGTTTGATATCTTTATACCAGCAGAGAACCCACTAAACTCGTTAATTTCAAGGGGGGAAGGGAACCAGGATGTAGCATCAGAGAGGATAAACAAGTTATACACATCTCACCAGTTGTGGCCAAGCTCCACTAGCTCCCAATCACCAAACGGATCGACTTCAAGATCCTCACACTTGCATTCAAATCCCTTCACTCTCTGGCACCTCCCTACCTCCGACATCCTCACTCCCCAATCCACCACCCAGCACCTCCGCACAACTGGCACTGGCCTCCGCCACATCATCAGAGGTCACGCTTTCAGCCACTATATCCCGAAACTCTGGAACATTCCACCTCAAGCCCTCCTCCTTGCCCCATCTCCCCCTTTTCAAGTTCCGCCTGAAAACCTTTCTCTTCAACTGTGCTTACGACCACATCCCCCGCCCCCAGCTTGGAGTCAGGCTCTGCCACTGTTAAGCACTCTGAGGCACTACCCTGCATGGAGGGTGCTATATAAGTGCAAGTTGTTGATTTTGTTGTTGTTGCATAGAGGACTGGGAGAGACAAACAATGCAATAAAGAGTAGTCTGTAAAAAGGAGGGATTAGATGGGGGGAAAAATTCAGAGCAGACTAAGTAGATCTTGGAGTGCATGTGTGTAAATGCAGGGAGCATGACAAATAAGATTGGTGAGCTGCAGGCTCAAGTTGCCACAAGGGGTTATGATGTAGTGACAATAATGGAGATGTGGCTCAAACAAGGGCAGGAATGGGAGCTGAAATCCTGGCTACAATGTATTCAGTATGTGTCCAGCCCAATGAGGAAGGAAGCAGTGCTAGATCTTATGAATGAAGTGGGGCACATGGAGCAGGTCTTAGTGGGAGAGCATCTGGAGAACAGTGATCAGAACATCATTAGGGTTACAGTATTTATTGAAAGGGAAAAGGAACAATCAAAGGTGAAGATACTCAACTGGAAGAGGGCTAATTTCAGTGAAATGAAAAGGGATCTAGCCAAGGTGGACTGCAAAGAAAGATTAGTAGGTAAAACGGCTAATGAGCAATGGGAAGCCTTCAAGGAGGAGATAGTTCGAGGACAGAACAAATACATTCCCACGAAGGTAAAACTCCCTGTATGACAAAGGAAATTGGGATTAAAATAAAACAGAAAAAGAAAGCTTATGATAAATGTCAGGTCCAAAATACAGAAGATAATCAAACAGAATATAGAAAGTACAGAGAAGAATTAAAAAAGGAAATAAGAGGGGCAAAGAGATTGTATGAAAAAGATTAGCGGGTAACATAAAAGGGACCCCTAAAGTATTTTATAAGTGTGTAAAGAATAAAAGGTTAGTCAAAGGTAGGATGGGGCTGATTAGTGACCAAAGAAGAAATCTTCTTGAGGCAGAGGGCATGGCTAATGTAGAGAAACAGGATAAAACAACAACGAGATTCCATTTATAGAGCGCCTTTCACGTCGGGAGGACGTCCCGACAGTCTGTCAGGACAGCAGTGGTCCTGGAGTTGAGGGTGGAGGCAGAAAGATAAAGTTGGGTGTCATCTGCATACATATGGAAGTTGACCTCATGTCTGCGGATGATGTCATCAGGAGGGAGCATGTAGATATTAAAGAGGAGAGGGCCAAGGACAGAGCCCTGGGGGACGCCAGACGTGACAGTGTGGGGACTGGAGGAGAAACCGTTAGAGGCAACGAAGTGGAGACGGTGAGAGAGATAGGAATCGAACCAGGCAAGGGCAGGTCCGTGAAGATTTAGTAAAGCGGAGAGGCGATGTATGAGGATGGTGTGGTCGACAGTGACGAAGGCGACAGAGAGGTTGAGGAGGACAAGGAGGCAGAGGGAGCCCTGATCACAGATGTTCAAAATGTCATTAGTGACTTTGACCAGGACTGTTTCCATGCTGTGGGCAGCGCGGAATCCGGATTGGAGAGGTTCAAAGAGGGAATGGCCAGAGAGAAAGGAGCGGAGCTGGGATGTGACGACTCGTTCCAGGATCTTGGAGAGGAATGGAAGGTTAGAGATGGGGCAGTAGCTGGAGAGGAGGGATGGATCCAGGGAAGGTTTTTTCAGGATGGGGGTAATGACAGCTGTTTTTAGGGGGGTGGGAACTGAACCGGTGGACAAGGAGAGGTTGATGACATCGGACAGGAAGGTGGAGGAACAGGTGGATAAAGCTGTTTTTTTAAAAAAAAAGGGATACTCGGCTTTATAAATAGGGTTATAGAATACAAAAGTAAGAAGGTTATGATGAACCTTTATAAAACACTGATTAGGTCTCAGCTAGAGTACTGTGTTCAGTTCTGGGTACCACACTTTAGAGAGGATGTCAAGGCATTGGAGAGAGTGCAAAGGAGATTTACCAGGATGTTACAAGAGTAAGGGACTTCAGTTATGAGGAGAGGCTAGAGAAGCTAGGATTATATTCCTTGGGAGCAGAGAAGGTTTCAGGGAGATTTAATAGAGGTGTTCAAAATTATGAGGGGATTTGATAGGGTGAACAAGGAGAAACTGAAACTGTTTCCACTGGCAGTTGGGTCGGTAACCAGAAGATACACATTTAAAATAGTTGGCAACAGAACCATAGGGGAGGTGAGGAGAAATTTTTTCACACAGCGAGTTGTTTGGATCTGGAATGCATTGCCTGAAAGGGTGGTGGAAGCTGATTTGATAACAACTTTTAAGATAGAAGTAGACAATTATTTGGCGAGGACAAGTTTCAGGGCTTTGGGGAGAGAGCGGGGGAGTGGGATTGATTTGGATAGTTCTTTTCAAAGAGCTGGCATGCACCCGATGGGCTAAATGGCTTCCTTCTGTACTGTAGGGTTCTATGATCCTATGGAACCTTTCACCAAGACTAGTAGATAGTTGGAATTAGCTATCTTTGTATGTAACAAGCAAAACAAGAGAAAAGTTATAGGGTTTTTTCCCCAGTTAATCTATTAAGGACTTTAATAATTTAGAACTTGTTCTCAAAGTCTGCAATAATGTCCCTCTGTCTTGCCCCCCCCCCCCCCCCCCTTGCCTTCTTCAAGACCCATTTCAAGACTCTCCTCTTTGGTCATCTTCCCACCACCACCTTCTTGACCTTTTGACTCCAGCCCATAGCTCGGGTGCAAAACCTTGACTGTCCAGTGCCTTGAAATTACCTCTCGAAGTGAAAGTCGCCATATAAATTCAATTTGTTGTAGTTTTATGATGCAACATATTTTGAGTATTTCCTCATATTGTAAACATCAGTATATCATGTTCACAACATGGCTATAACATGAAACCAAATAATGAAAGTCCCTAAAATAATGTAAAGGGCACATCTCAAGACCCTCCTGTTCGACTGCGCCTTCAGCCATCCTCCTACCCCTACCTCCAACATTCACGATTCCATCCCCTGCTCGGGTCCAAATCCCCAACTGCAGCAGCTTGGGATGTTCTCCCGAAGTGAAAGGCGCTAAACAAATGTAATTTGTTGTTGTAGAATGCTTGCCAGATTTTGTTGGTAAAATGTCCTCTGACCAACTGATTTGTTGGACTGAAGTGCTATAAAATCCCGCTCATTACTTGCATAACAGTTTTAACTTCTATTTGAGATTGGCTGGCCAGTGAATTACACTACTGTAAAATATAAGGCCTCAGGTTTACAAACTAATTTTTCACAATGTGCAGTAGTTCATTTGTTTTATTGCTGTTTGTGGGGCATTGTTGTGTAAATTAGCTGCCATATTTGTCTACAAACTACACAGTGACATTTTGTGAAGTACTTTAAGATGTGCTCCCAATGTGAATGGCATTTTATCAAATGGAAGGATTATTTTTAGTTATTAAAACTGAAGTATGGAATCGTATTTTGAGCATGAATAATAATTAAAAATGAATGTATTCACCCAAATAAATGTGTTTTGGGATACCATGTTATTAATTAATGGATATAATACATTATTGCCTTTAATGTTTTGTTCAGATAATTTCTCCCCTTCATTTTAACTGCCTATTCTCTTTTAGTCATTTACTACTAAAACCTCCATTGATGCCTTCATGACCTTGAGGATAGATTTCTTTCCACTGTCTCCTTGGCTCCAGCCTCAATTAATCCCAACTGATCTAAATCCTCTGTCTCCACTCTTCTGTTTTCAGGACTGCAGCTCATTCTTCATTACATCTGTACCACAATTGGTACTGCCCCACACCCGCCTCTAAAATTGTCTTCCAATAATTTTGTTCTTGTTTCTTCTTTCACTGCCTTCAACCCATTCTCTCTGTTTGGTGGTCTCTATTATAATTGTTAATTGCTTGAAAACATTTTACTGGAAGACACAATATTAAGTACAGTTATTGGCTAGCCTAGCATGATTGTCTGCTTGTTTTCAGATCTGTACTTTACTGACTAAATCTCTCAAACATCTCTTAAGAGTGCACTACTTTATCTCAATGAGCTTGATGTTCTGAAATTTGTAATGATAAAGAATAAATTCCTCAACTCTTCGTGCAACTTTATCTTTGTGGCTTCCTGAAGTTCTAAGATGATGTTACTAGTTATATATGTTTGTAATGACAATATTTTAAATTCTAAACTATGGCATGCCATTGTTTACAATAGCCATTTAAGATTATTGTAATATTGTGTGCAATATAAAAAGTGGCACAACATCCACATTATATTCTAATGAATAGTATTTTGATTTTTTTTGTCAACAGACCTACAGCAAATTGACTAAAATGTTGCAAATTACTAAAGACTGAAAGTAATTATAAACTTATGAGTTCAGTTTGGATTTGAATTGTAACATTTACAATATTTTTGTATTTCAAAAAAGCTGGAACAAATTGCTGATTCATCGCATTATGTTTTCCCTGTTACTGGAGGATTTCATGCTTTAAAAGGAATAATTGATTTGGTGAGTTCCATTTGAAAATGTATTTCATGTGCTTTAGCAGTTCCTTTTATGGTTTAATCATTGAAGACAACCCTTGGCACAGCAATAAGTCATAGAGACTCGAAGGCCATGGATTTGAATGTGGTGTGAGTTGGTGATCCTAGCAGGGGTAGCAGTTGGAGTTCTACAGTTGGCCTCAGTGTCCCTAAGTTAGGGATATGACAATCAGCCACATAATTCACGATTCCTGATTATTATTCAGCCTTCTGCTATAAGTGTGGATGGAATGGGAGGACAATACTTGGCTTGACTGTTATGCTCCCACAGTTGAATAGTCTGCCAACACTCACTGAATCACACAAAGAATTAGGCAAGGTACTATATGGGTGAGGAGCACCCATGTAACAGAAGGAAATGCCTTCTGGCGAGGAGAAAATTGACAGAAAAAAATATATAATTTAGTTTATTATTGCAAACAAGGGTATTGATGGAAGAGGTTCTCAGTGCTTGGGAATTGTGAAACCAGTGTGAAGCTGAGTCACAGCAATTTTGAATGTCCTACATTTGACCTCTTGTTGATGCCATGAGTTGGTCTTAACTGAAAAGACGATAAGAGCACTATAGTTGTTGAAGGTTGGGTGAGGACAGGGCAGTAATAAATTTGAATGTGATTTCCCTTCCCGTTCCCTAGAGATTAGAAAGATATCTCCGATATGTCTCACTGTGTTCCAGCTTGAGTTAGCTCTTTCAATAAAACACAAAACAGAATTTAGAAAAAACCCTGAAGATCACTGCAGTGTAAAACGTTCTCACATTGTAACACATAGACTCAAGGGCAGGTTTCTCAAGAACACTAATCAAATGGTTTGTATTGAATAAAGCCAAAGCGACAATTTTAATGTTACATCAATAAGTTACATATAACAGCGACTTATAGCTCAGAGTGTGGTGGAGCTCTTTTACCTACTCTGGGAGAGAATGGTGGAATTAGTGAGCGCTAGAATCAATGTTGACGGACAATCTCCTTTTTGTCACAGCCTTCTTACTGCATCTCCATCGCTCTCCTATTGTAGCTTACCCTTCTTTCACTAAAATACTCTTTTAGTCACGCTTACTCTCTCACAAATGTCCTTAGCATCTGCGCTATTGTTACTTAACTTTACACTGATCATTCTTTATCACAGCATGAGTCGCCCATGCACCTTGTGACCCATTTTAGTTGTGGTCAACACTGGTGGTTTATTTCATTACTTGCACCCAGTCTTTTACTGGCCTATCTGGAAGGATGCCGAGTTCTAATCTGATTCTTTAGTTGTTTGTTCAATCTGCTGCTGTCTCCACTCAATCTACTTGCTTGGGTCAGCACATATTTCCCTTCCTATGTCGGCCCTCGTTTGGGATCTGAGGACAGGCTTCTGCTTGGTTGTAGGAATCTTAGTTTAGAAGATATTTAAGTGTTTTTATCATTGCAGCAGAATGAGAAAGATATAAAGCCAACAGCAGATAATTCCTAGGAATGTTCCACAACATTCATTGCCACAATAATTTAACTGTCTTGTGGAATGTGGAACAACATGTGGTTAGTAACCACTTTGTTATTCATCCAAATTGATCATATTTAGGTGTGGTATTAATCATATTTGTTTTGAAAATTTGAATACATCTTTTTAAGGCCAGTTTCAAAGGGACTACTTGGAAAGTTACAACACCATTCTGCACCAGACTGTGCCAGTATTTACATTCCATGTGAGCTCCTCATCCCCTTTCCCATATGCTTCTATTCCCTTCTCCCTCATGCACTGTGTCCTTATAAATACATTCTACTTTCCAATCACAGCTCTTGGCAATAAGTTCCACACCCTTGAATAAGAGATTACAATTCTTTATTTAACACTTCTCTGCAATCTTGTTGCATTAACCATTTATTTATTCATGATCTGTATAAAATACAGTACAAAATTATGACAATGATTGTGGAGTGAGCTGAATGAAAAAAGACACTCTTATTTATATTCGTGTAATCCTGAATGATGCTTGCTCTTGATAATTCTCGCTTCTTTCCTGCTACTTTTTGATATTGTATTCCTCAGTTAAAATTGCTTACAAAATACACCTTCATTAGACATCACAGTAAATGTAGCACTTGAGACATGTGAAAGGTGTGATATTAAATGCAAGGATTACTATCAAGTTAGCAACAGGAAAATATCTGTGTCCATAAAATGATACATGTAATACAAACTCATCAATATTTAATCAGACAATTTTTGCCAATTCAATTGAAACGTGTGATGTTTCGTAATGAGATGCTTGTGGTAACTATCATAAGGTTGGGAAAGGATGAGTCCCTTAACTCTTGCTTGTGTTAACCATCAATCAGATGCAGATGATTGTTTCTTCCAAGGCTGACACTCTGCTGACATCTTACTTAATAATGGCTGGTTTGCCATTATTGGGGCAACAATTTAAAAAAGCACAAATGGAAACAATTTAGTCTGTTTTCTGATCTGTGGTGTAGAAATGTGCTTTAGGCTCAAAAATAGATGGCTTATCTAGGGACTTCTCACCATTTTGGTGCAACTTTAGCACAGAAATTCAAGCAAATTTCCAGTTTAGAACTCAGGGTAAAACGTTTAAAATGTAATCAGCATTTTAATGCCGTAGATCAGGAAACTGATGAGATAAGGTTTTCCCCACACTCCCTTTATGTATGCCTCAATAATGGCATATCAGAGGGAGTATGACAGTTAATATCTGAACATGGCAGTGGAATGGCAATTGCAGGAAGCTGTGGTTTTGGCTACACTGAACCTTGTTAAGATGTCAATGCATGCCTGCAATAGGAAATATTTAATAATGCAAATGCGTTGTGAAATATCACAAATATAAACTGTTTATCTCAAAAATATTTTAACTTCTTGTTTTTGAATATGGTTGTGCTAATAACAATCTGTCTAGAACTCTAGAAGTGGCTATTGGGTAAAAGAGAGATAGCAAGTTTAGTTCAGTATTTTTAAAATGTTTGGTCTGATCAGAGGGAGCTTTATCTTAGCGAGAGCCAATTGATGTAAATAAAATGAAAAAAATTGTTTCATCCCCCACCCCCCCTTCTCCCAGAACTCATGAAAGAGTTACTCTTCCTTCTCCCCCTCATGAGCAGTAGTGTTTGTATTTAGATCATTATTTATAATCCTCAGTGCTGAAGCATGTGCCTTGACTAGTTTAAAGTGTATAACCATTGCCTTCATATTCACTAAATTCATTTTTTCCTAATATTTATATTAGATTTTAAAGAAATCCTGCACTGAAATTTTGACAGTGGAGCCTTCTAGCGTATGTGCTGGAGGTAAGTAAACATGTTTAAACACTGTACTGCGAAGAGATTAAAATTGATCTTTTGAAATAAGTTTGTTGGTTGAACTTGTTTAACTTGTTGATATGTTTGGTTTGATGTAAAAGAATATTTACATCTTTTACATGGAAGCCAACAAGAACTCCAAAATCCTATTCTCCACTTTCTCTGTGCGTCTCCTCAAGCACCCTCAATCATCACATCTAACACCAAGTGTGAAGAGGTCATGGACGTCCTTATTGCTAAAATGACAACATCCACCTGGCAGCTTCATCCCTCTGCCCCGTATTACCTACCACCACCCCTTTCTGTCTCCCACCGTGCCCTCAGCTCCTACCATGGCCCCCATCCTACATTCATTTGCCCCCATCTACTTTCTGCCTCTCATCCACCATCACCACAAAGAAATCCACCACCTGCTGCCTCGTCCCTCTCCCTACCTAACTGCTGATCACCCAGCTCCCCCTCTTCTGTCCACTGCTGGTGGACACTATTAACCAGTCTCTCCCCTCAGGGTCAGTCCCACTCCCCCTCAAAATTGTGGTTATCAACCCCCTTCTTAAAAAAAACCCACCCTCAATCTCTCCAACCTCAGCCACTACTGCCCTGTCTCAAACCTGCCCTTCCTTGCCAAAGGTCTGGAACATGTTGTTGCCAACCAACTTTGCGCACACCTCTTCCTCCAATCCCTACTCAATCCTCTTCAGTCCGGTTTCCGCCCTGCCCACAGTACAGCTAACTCGTGAAAGTCGCAAACGATATCCTCTATCTGTGACCAGGGCTCCCTCTGCCACCTTGTCCTCCTGGATCTCTCTGCCCCATTCGACACAGTCGATTACACCCTCCTCCTCTACTGCCTTTCCTCCTTCATCTACCTCAGTGGGACCCCATTCGCTTGGTTCGAGTCCTACCTTACAAACCACCAGCACTACGTTTTTGCAAATGGCTTTTCTTCTCGCTTCCAGCTGGTCACCTGCGAGGTACCCCAAGGATCCATCCTTGGCCCCCTTCTCTTCCTAACTATACGCTCAGAATTCACATGTTGCTTGTTTTAATCTGTTGCCTTATGTGTAGTATAAAGAGAATATCCAGTGCTGAATTGCAGAAATGCAATCTGTAGCCTGACCATAACTAGCTAACAAGCTATCATGGTAGCACTCTTACAGGATATTTTTATATTGAATCCTCACTACATATTACAAGATCGCAAGTTTGGTTTGGTTGAAGATGGTTCAGCTCATCTGATCTCATCCCTCCAGAATACACACCTTAAACTTACAAGATATCCTCTGTATCTCCATCAGAAAGAAATTCATGTTGTCCAGAACCTTTAGCAATATGAAATCTGTAGTTAATGTTCTTAATTCATTCAAAGATACCGTGCTTATAAGAGGGAACCCTGGTCACACTGAGAGACAACATATTTTATATATTTGACGAGCTCCATCTCTGTTCTATGAGCAGGGTGAAAACTGGACTGGAGGGAGCGGTGACTGGAGGGAGAGGTGTAATCAAAGTTGTTTAGTAACATGTATTCCAAGATTTTAGAAGTGAAGAGCAAGTTTGCAATTGTTTGCAAAGTTATAAAGTCAAGTGTATTTTTGAGAAGGGAGAATGATGACTGGTACTTTTAAGGGGCAGTGGGATGGAGCCTGAAGCTATGCAGAGGAAGAGGAGGTAGCCAAGCTGATGTTTTTTGTCTATCTTTGAGATGAAGAAGCCCACTTCTCATTTGTCATTTGAGGTGAAGATCGAGGGTGCTTGAGGGAGCTAGCAAAGGTGTAATGAGTTATGAAAACAGAAGCTTGGGTTTAATTGTGGCCTCAGGGATGACCTGCAAATAGAATACAGTTTTGGCTTATGTGAGGGAGAGGCGGTAGGTTTGAAGATGCTTGAGCCACATGAGTTCACAAGTAAACCGTGAAGCTGGTTTTGTGCCATTTCTTTTCAAGACTGGTTATCTCTAGCTTGTTTAATCTTTGCTCATTCTTTTAACAGTGGGGATCATCCTTGTTGCTCTTCTCCACGCTATCTCTCGGCCCCCCCCTCATATTGTGACTAGAACTGTGTAATTTCTGTGATCTTAGTTTAACTAATTTGTCAATATAGCGCAGCAACCTATTTGCCTTGTTTATTTGTAAACAGTTCAATAGCAATATTCCTTTCTTTGTCAGCCTCAGATGATTACAAGTTATTTTCAGCTGAATCTGCCTTTGGGCCTGTTTCACATGTCATTCTACTTGAAATTCAGTTTATGTCCACCTTAGATGGCTGGCCTTTGAGTCTGTTTCCTGATTACTGACTGTGCTGTAACAATATTAAATTACATTTAAATGCACAAAATAAGAATCGTGTTGCAAGATGTTATAAAAATGTTAAGTTATAAAATACTTGACCTTACATTCTGTAAGATACTGTATTCTGTAAGATACATTGTATGATACTGTATGAAGTAAGAAAACACATCAGAATATGTAAAGATCTGGCTGGCAGTAGACTACAGTATCTACAACACTGTTTTTCATATCACTGATGTTATTACCTAATGGTGCACTTGCTGGTCTATGTTTCTGTAAGGATACTTGCTTTTATCTGTTTTATTTTTCAGATGAAGCGATTTTATTCTCTGCAGGGCATGTTAAATGGATCTAGACTTTATCATGTGGGGATATTAATGAACAGACCACCATAACTTACAACCTGTTGTAGCCAGAAAAGTGGTATTTGTAATATTAATATTAAGTAATATTGTAATGTTACAAATGTCTAATATTTATAAAGGGCTTTTCAGTATGGAGATGCTTTTCACTTTGAATTTGAATACAGGGGCTTTGTTTTTCCACAGTATCAGCTGAAATGTGCTGTTATGCTCTTTGATGCAGTAAATTCAAACCCAGTTGCATTCTAAATTGATATGCATGTACTTACAGAACAATTTGAAATCATGCTCAGGGGAAACGGCTTCAAGTTAGGCCACAGCCAGGCTCAAATCCTATGCAGCTACCACATAAATGCTTCAAAAACTATCAGTAAGTATGGCAGCTAATCTATGCTTGGTTTAATTGTATGATGATAATAATAATAATCTTTACAAACATCCAATATTGAAACATGTTGAAGCGCTTCACAGAAATTACTATGTATTTATTGTTGAATGCTACAGCCAATTTGTGCTCAGCAATCCAATACAAATTTAGATTTATATCGTGCCTTTCATTTTGAGAGGACGTCCCAGTGTACTGAACAGTCTGAGCATCGGGGCCCTGGGTGTGGGGAAAGATGGCTGAAATTGTGGTCCAAAGAAGAAGTCTTAAGGCTGACCTTTGAGGGAAGGGGCAAATCAAAAGGTATCCAGGATGAAGTTTCAAAGGGTGAGGCCGGATACACTGAAAGCCTGACTACTTATGATAGGGTGATGGACAACAATTTGAACAACAATGCAGATGGGAAGAACAATAAAAATATTTATTAAAAAAAATTGCTAGAAATCTTATACTTGGCTCAATTGGTTCTGCCTCTGAGTCAGTCCAAGCTGACATCCCAATGCAGTACTGGTGAAACATCGCATTGCTGGAGGCACCGATTTCAGAAATGTTAGAGTAAGATCCCACTTGTCAGTTTAGGTGGATGTTAAAAATCCCATAGCACAATGTGAAAAGAGAAGTGCCAAGAATCCTCCAGATAAAATGGTCATTCACTTCATGGTTGTTTGTGGGATATTCCTGTGTGCAAAATTGGCTGTTGCGTTTGCCAACAAAATATACAGTCACTAACTTTACAGTGTTTTAACATGTTGACCAAGAAGCTCAACAGGTGAGGGTCCAATCTTGTTCAGGACTGTTTGGAGAAAAAGATACAGAACTTCCTCTAGAGGAGTTTGGTAAAATCATTGAAGCAGTTTTCCAGCCTGGGATACACCAAGTCATAGCAATAGAGGTTCAAAAGTACAAGACATTTCAAACATATATTCTGATTTCAGCATGCACAGAATAAGGTGATTTGCATTCAGCGAGCTCTGTATATTGCACGCATTGTGAAAACAATTCTTTGAATAATTTTTGATGTATTATTATGCCAGACTTAATGAAAAATCAATATTTACTATAGTGTACAGGACACTAGCATTCTAATACTATAATTTATGAAGAATAGCGTTTTTTGTCTTTACCTTTTTATCTGCGGAACTACATAAAATACAGATAATTTTGTGGGTATGTGAAATCTTCAAATTTCTTTCTGTCCCACACACCCAGATGGATTTTGTTGGACTTCAAATTGTAGGGGTTAATGTTCTGGGGTATATGTGCAATAAATGTTAATCTGTGCCATTCTTCTTTCAAAAATTTAATGCCTTTTTTTATAAAAAGCTGAAATCTAATACCTTTAAAAATAAGTTTATTCTCCAATTTGTTAAACAATTCAGTATAAGGAACTCATGCAACGACTCATTTTCCAGATGAGAGACCAAGCCATGTGACGGATAATTACCTACTGTGCCCAGCACCCGTGCTGCAGGAAGTGGGGCAGTAAGTACACTAGCACAAGTCTGTAATTATAAATAACTGGATATTTGATAGGATGTTATTGAATCTTAAGATTTGCTTCATATTGCACTGTTTACAGTTTTATCATTAATAGTTTTCTGTCACATGGCTTTCTTGCATCTGAATAAGTATTTGTTTGCGGCAAAATGATTTTGAGTGAAACATTTTGTCGCCCACAGTTTATTGGCTTACGCCTCAGGTTCTAGCAGTGCTGCATTCTTCGAGGCCTCATGACACACTAAACTGAAATTCAGAATTGCTGATGGCCTCGTGAGTAAAGGACCAGGCCATACAGACCAGAAAATTGCAAAGTTGAATTTCCTGACATTCTGAGGCTTGGTTCTATGGTTCTCTGCACAGTTGCCTATTTTCCTATAGAATCGCACTGAGCAGATGGAAAAAAGAATTGGGAGGAGAAAAGTGGCAGGGACGGCCTTCCCCTTTCCCCCCACACTGTCTCATCTGCATGTTCTGGTGCTTTATGAAGTCACTTTCAAGGGCCATGTTCCTTCACCTCCACCGCATCATCTCCTCCCTCACATCCAACATCACTGAAACACTCAAACATGCTTTTGTCATATCCTGCTTGAATTTGTCAATTCACTTCTCACTGGTGTCCCTAGCTTCACCATTCACAAGCTGCAGCACAACCATAACTTCCAACACTTGAATCCTTGCCTGCACCCCATCACTCCAAACCTCACCAGGCTCCTCTGGCTCCCTGGCTCCCAGTGGATTGATTTTAAAGTCCTTACCATCATCTGCAAAACCATCCACTCTCCGGCACCCTGTTATCTCTCTGATCTCCTCCGACACTATTCCTTTGCCTGATCCCTCTACTCACTAACTCAGGCTAGTTGTGCATTCCCCCATCCTCTCCGGGAAACCGTTGATGGCTGAGTCTTCAGTTCCTATGCTCCCTAAACCTATGGAAATCTTTATCTACCACTCCATCCTACCTCTCTGAACATGCTTATTTCCCCCTCCCCTCAATCCTTGCTTGGTATCCAACAAGAAAAGTGCTCTAAGATGTTACCCTGCACGATGGGTGCTCTATTGTCGTTTAGTTGATATGTTAAAGGTTCCATGACACTGTTTTGAAAAAACAGGGTTTCCTGGGCAATATTTGCTCTTTCTCCAAATTTTTCTTTTGAAAAAAAACATTATTTATTTCATTGCTGTTTGTGGAAGTTCCTGCATCCAGACAAGCCGTCACATTAATCTATTTAACAACAGCCTCTGACTTAAAAATAGCTAAATTCTGAAGTGCTCTTAAAACATTTCAGCATAATTGGACTCAAAATTAAATATCAAATCCAAGTATTGAATCCAGTGAAATGAGCATAAGTTACAAATATTTGTCAATCTATGATTTTATGTAGTTTACTCTTTTTTAAAAAAAAATGATTCCTTCCTTTTTGTTTGCATGGGTCAAAATTATGCAATTGTTCCATATAAATGCCGCCCAATTATTTTGTCTTTCGCATGTGCGGTGAAGAGGGTAGCACTGAATAATGATTGTGCCCCGCTATAGCACTATCTGGAATTTTATGCACCTAAATGACCATGTAATAAGTAACAGGCTTCCAATGCAGTTTCTTCTTTAAAAAATTAATATAACCCAGGGACCTTGGGTAGCTGGCCTAACTGATAGCTTAGGTAGTTGAGCACTTCACAACCAAAAATATCAAGTCAAGTTCCTTAATCTTGCTTTCATTCTATATCAAATAATTTTCTTTTCTCAACCAAGGTACTAAATTCAATGTTATTTTGACAAAAATATATTTCACTTGTCCAGTTAGGGGGATAGTTTCTCAAGAGAAAAGCTACCAGGACATGAATTTATTGAGTTAAAAGGCTATTTTTGTGTTCTGTCATTGTGTGCAAAATATATTTGTGTTGAAAGATTAGTTAGCACTGTATCACCTTCTTTCAAATTATTGAAATGTTGCACCCCCACCGACCCGCTACAAAAAAAATTAAGTTGTTTTCATTGCAGTTCTCTTTATGTATAAAAATAATGTGAGTATTGCATGTGCACAATAGGTGCTTGATCTTTTCTCATGAAAGTCTATTTCAAATCAAAGCATGACTGCAATTGTTCAGCCCAAGAGTTACACGTCTTGGTAATCTGCTTCTATTCTGTGTATTGTAATAACCAAAATTATCTACTGTTTAAGCTCTGGTGTGTCTTTACCCATGTGACAGACAAAATTCACTATAAAATAACAAACCTTCTCAAAATCTCCAAGAATGGAAAGTTTAAATTAACAGCACGAAATGATTTCTACAAAAATGGCTCACTTGTAGCTTTCGTTTACAACTACAGTTGACTTCAAAAAATAATTGACTGGGATATTTTTATTGAATTAGTGGAACAGAATCACATTGCAATGTGACTTTGTTGCTCTTGTGTTACTTGGTATTTGTTATTTGGTAGGTCTGTCCCTTGGGGGGAAAAAAATATTCAACAGGTTTAAGCATCTTGGGATGTCCTCCCAATGAGAAAAGCACTATAAAAAGCACTAAATTTGTATTGTATCCCTGAAATGTTAGCTGGCTTATCAATTTAACATTCCATTCTTTCGTTGGCACTGATGGAAAAGTAAATACTGCAACTTCAAATTGTCTTGTTGATGACCGTTATGAAGAACACATTTTTCATATTCTTAAGTTATTATATGACATAAGAATTGGGCGCAGTCAGAGACTGATGTCATGAGAAAAAAATGCTCCCGAATTTGACCCTGCTGGCTGCTGGTAACACAGAAAGATTTAAAGGACTATTACTAATAGGCAAGTCCAACAGTTAGGCCATATTATTTCCCCATGTTTGGAGCCATGATATGTCTTGCATCCTTGATGGATCTGACTGTTCTAAAGGACTCCTGGAAGCTTTCTATCGCTGTTGTTCCAGTAATAATGGCAAGCAATTTAGAGGTCATTTTCAGCAACAGCGCACTGCAAAATATGTCACAAATGACATTCTCTCTATCTGTGACCAGGGCTCCCTATGCCTCCTTGTCCTCCTGGATCTCTCTGCCGCATTCGACACAGTCGAACAAGCTGTCCTCCTCCATCAGGTCTCCTCCCTCACCTACTTAGTGGGACCGCACTCGCACGATTCGAGTCCTGCTTAACCAACTGATTTCTTTTCAGCAAATGGTGTCTCCTCCGCCCCTCCCTGTGGGGTACCCCAGGGCTCCATCCTTGGCCCTCTTCTTTTCCTTATCTATATGCTCTCTCTGGGCCATGTCATCTGCAGACATGGGGTAAACTTCCACATGTAAGCGGATGACACACAAATTTACTTTGCCTCCTCCAGTACCAACTCCAGGTCCGCCAATGTTCTATCAGCTTGTCTGGCAGACATCAAGGCCTGGATGAGTGTAAGCTTCCTGCAGCTGAATGTGGACATGACTGAAGCCATACTCCTTGGCTCCTGTCAATGTCTTCACTCTCAACTGTCCTTCCTCCCTCACATCTGGTCCCTGAGAAGGACCACCTTCTTCCACCTACGCCACATTGCCCACCTCTGACAGTACATTACTCCAAATACAGTCAAAACCCTTGTGCATGTGTTTGTCTTCTCCCACTTGGATTACTCCAACGCACTCCTCGCCGGTCTCCCCAGCTCAACTATTCATAAGATCCAGCTCATTCAAAACACTGTCGCTCGCGTACTGACCTGGACCAAACTCTGTACCCACATCTCATTCATTCTGGCCAGGCTCCATGGGCTCCCCACCGCCAAACACATCAACTGCAAGATCCTCACACTCGTGTTCAAATCCCTTCACTCCCTGGCACCTCCCTACCTCTCCGACCCCCTCATTCCCCAATCCACCACCCGCTGCTTCCGCTCGACTGGCACCAGCCTCCTACTCGTCCCTTGCACCCTCCGCCTCACCATCGGAGGTCATGCCTTCGGACATTATGCCTCAAAACTCTGGAACACCCTCCCTCCATCCCTCCGCCTTGCCCGCTCTCTCCCCTCTTTCAAGCCCCACCTGAAAACTTTCTTCTTTGACCGCGCTTACGGCCACCTCGCCCCTCCACCCCCCCCAGCTCAGAGTTAGGCTATTGTTAAGCACTCAGAGAAGTTACTCTACGTGGAGGGTGCAATATAAGTGCAAGTTGTTGTTGTTCTTGCATCTCAGCAATATGGAGTGCATTGCTTCACCTACAGTGATAGATGGTGCTATAAACTTTCTATGATCTCAGTCCTCCATAGGTGCAGATCATCCAGAACTCTGCAGCCCATGTTCTCTCCCACACTAGGCTCTATGACCCTATCACCCACATCCTCGCCCAACTCCACTGGCTTCCCATCACACAGAGGATACAGTTCAAGATCCTGGTCCTCACCTTCAAAGCCCTCCATGGTCTTGCTCCTCCCCACCTCTGTGACCTCCTAACCCCCTACTATCCTGTTTTCTCCCTCCCCTCGGCAGGCTCTGGCCTGCTTCAAGTCCCCTGCTTCACTCACCCCACTATTGACTGGCAGGCCTTCTGCCACTCTGCCCTCACCATCTGGAACTCCATCCCGCAGTCCTTCCACCTCGCCCCCTCCCTTGCCACCTTCAAGACCCATCTCAAGACCCTCCTCTTCAACCATGCTTTCGACCTCTCTGCTTCTCCACCCTCCCCAACCCCCAGCTCGGGTCCATAACTGTGTCTGTCCAGCGCCTTGGGATGTCTTCCCAACGTGAAAGGTGCTTTACAAAAGTAATGTTGTTATGATTCTAAAATGATAGTGAAATGCAGTGCTACAGCAGCGAATTTCAGATTTGTGCTACATAGATTTTAGGTGTAGGATCGGATAGTTCATTTACGCTCTTCAAACGTGCAGTTCTACTATTACTACTACAATTCGACTATTATAATGGTGTGGTTTACTGTGTCCACATACAGATGGGTATACTGTGTACCTGTGCTGTACTGGAAATGCGATACACTTCCATTTCTAGCACTTGCATGTG